AGCCAGATGTGGAGGAGGATGTGGCTGAGGTTGAGGAGATAGCTGAACCTGAAGGTGGATTTTCACTGCGTGATGTCATGAAGGGCATAAATGCAATGACAAAGAAGATAGGAAAGATGGCGCTGGCACATAAAAAATGGAGAAAGAAAGGGAATGAAAGGTTTAGACACATACAGGGAAGGTTTAAGGGTGTGGAAGACAGGCTTGCTCGTCTGGAGCTTGCAAGAGGTGGTCAGGTAGCTGAGGCAGCAAGGGATGGGGGTCATGTGTCAGATGAGGACGACTCGGAGACAGACACAGACGGGGATGACGAGTAGATTTAGGGTGTACATCATGTTATTGTGTTTTGTTCATGTATTTCCTTTAAGTCGTTGATGTAATGTAACTTTTTTTAATGAATGCAGAATTGTTATGTTTTTTGGATCTATTTTATGTTGTGTAATGAATTTAATTCCATTTCAATATTGTATAACTTATGAATGGAACCTTTTTAGCAATTTGATCATCACGGCACAAAACAATATTGAACAGGTCACATTCGTCCATAACACATCACAGCAAATCAGTACATGTGTTCAAAAAGGCTACATCTTGTATTGTTAACCGTAAACAAACGTTATGACAACATACGACTTGGTTTTAGGAATTTAATGTCCACATGGGTTTTTTGACTCGGAAATTATGCTCCCTAAGTCACACTCCCTTAGTGGATCAGTGTAGAGTGGAAACCTAGGGCAAAAAACTTGGGTAATTCGGAATTGGGGTCCTAAACCAACAATTTAGTCGATTAACCTGTACTGGTTTAGTCGACTAAACCAGTACAGGTTAATCGACTAAATTGTTGGTTTAGGACCCCAATTCCGAATTACCCATGTTTTTTGCCCTAGGTTTCCACTCTACACTGATCCACTAAGGGAGTGTGACTTAGGGAGCATAATTTCCGAGTCAAAAAACTAAGATGAGTCAAATACAAATATCATGACATCAAATACAAACATAGCACCGTCATTACATTCAAATACAAACATCATGACATCAAATACAAACATAGCACCGTCATTACATTCAAATACAAACATCATGACATCAAATACAAGCATATAAAACCATAAATGCCTATAATGTTAAACCATCAAAACATTAAGCCCTTCCCCTGCTTCCTCCGCAATTCATCTTGTATTGGGAATCCTCATAGAACATGTACGTTTGTTGTGACCAATTTGCTTACACAGGCTACATCTACTCTGACTGCTTGTCGGTTGAGACTCAACCCAATCCATCTCATTCTGTATCCTTGACGATTTGGGTCTTCCTTGTGCACGTACCAAAGATGCATTTGGGATAATGGTTGGGCCATCAATTTGTGGAATCAACAACTCATTGCCCATTGGATACCAATGAGCAGCATATACCTTATCAATTTGTACAATTGAGAACACAGGATCAACATAATCATAGTGGTTCAACTTTTCTACCTTGCACACCGCTAAGACATGACTGCAAGGGAATCTTCTAGATGTGAACCGTCCACATTGACATTTGCGATTGAGCAAGTCCACCCTCATTATGTCACCTGCATCATGAGTTGATTGATTGTAGGCATCCTCAACTTCAAATAGCTGCAGGTCCCTATCAAAAACCCGCACACGGAGGCTCACTGTTAATTGATCATTTTTTTGGATGATATCCTCAACTTTTTTTGCAATTCTCCAACCCTTTGCCTTTGCCTTTTGGATCTTTTCACGTCTCTTGACGAAATACTCAACAAGTCTACTTTGAGTCATCTTCACCAATGCTGTTATAGGCAAATTACGTGCACCCCTCAGGACCTTATTCACACACTCATATAAGTTAGTCGTCATGTGACCAAACCTCCGACCGTCCTCATCGTAAGACCTGCACCATTTTTCTTTGGGAATCTGATCTATCCATGAAGCTACTTGAGGGTTACTGTCGATAAAATCCTGGAATCTGATATCAAAATGAATCTTTGAACTCAAGTACCCTGAAATACAAAATGATGCGTTAGATACAAAAGGATGAATTATATACAATTTGTACATATTAAAAAGAAGATTGTACCTAGCTTCATCAGGGTTTTCTTTAATTCCACATCTCTGAACTTAGTGTTAAAGTTGCTTCCGATGTGGCGTAGACAAAACACATGATACGCAAATGGTGGCTGCCAACCGGCATGATCTCTTACAGCCTTGATCATGCTGGGATGACGATCGGATATTAGACAAATGCCATGCTTATGCGTGACGTGAAAACGCATGAGGCTAAGAAACCACGACCAATCATCCAATCTCTCACCAGGAGGAACAATAGCAAATGCAATAGGGAGAATGTAACCATCTCCATCTTGTGAAGTTGCAATCAAAAGAGTTCCTTTGTATTTACCGTACAAATGCGTGCCATCAATTTGGATTATGGGTTTACAATATTTGAAGGCCTCAATGCACTGGTGAAAGGTCCAAAATACTCGGTGAAAGACAGCCTTATCCGTATACACTCGACGTTCATCAACACATTGGTCTGTATCAATCTTGAACACAGAACCCACATTAACCTGCGTCATGTATGTCAGCCAACCAGGCAAGAATGCATATGATTTATCCCAGTCGCCAAATAACTTGACAATGGCTTTCATTTTAGCCTTCCAAGCTTTCCTGTAAGATATGTTGTATCCATACAAACGTTGTACCCTCTCTTGAATAAGAACTGGCTTCAATGATGGATCTTCTTTTAACATACCTATATAAAAAAAAACACCGGCCAACAGTCAGAATACAAACTGATTAACGTTAACATACCTTAGGAAGTTAGATATATCGAATAATACATACTGATAATGGTTGCACATATCACATCAGAATCCAACTGTCTATGATCCCGGGTAAGACCTTGGTTTAGGCAGGTGTGTTCTTTAACCCATTTACTAACCACCCAAGTATTTCCATTCTTCGGCAACAATGCCCTCACATACCAGGGACATCCATCATTATGGTGTCGACACTTCATCACAAATCTATGGTCATCACTTTTTGCCACAACGGCAGTACGGTGAGCCTTCATACAATATAATTTGACTGCATGTTGCATTTCAGATTTGCTACGAAACTCCTGATACAAATATAAAGGATCCCCTAATTGCCAGCCACCGTGATCATCATCGTCACCATACAATATCTCCGTCTCATCATTAGGGTGGGCCCAATTAATGAAGGTATAATGTGAGCTTTCATTCCAAAATGGCTCGACCTCAGAACCTACGGATGCATTATAATGCCACCGTCAATACCATTCATAACAAAAAAAATAATTGCTAAATTAAATCTTTAAAAAACAAATCTTACCACTGCTAACAGGGTCAACACGAAGTGGTCTCGTAACCTGCGAACCCGGGGATGGTGAGCTTGTGTCAGCGTCGAAATCACCCTCTACGTCAGTATCTGACGTGTCACCTAGTGGAATAACACTCTCAGGTTCACCGTCCTCATCGCTGTCCATATCGGCATCCTGTTCATCCTCATCTATTTCCCGCAGTGTTATCTGACTTATGACATGTGCAGGTGCAGATAAATCGACTACTCTTTCTTCATGACCAAAATACGGTTCACTTCTTGTATGCATGGGTGCAGATGAAGATTGACCACAATCTAATTCAACATATATCTCAATAAAATTTTGAAATTTTCGGTCAACAATTGCATCTATGACACATTCGACATCTTCATCATCACATATATCGTTACCAATGTAGTAAATAGCATCCTTACCAACTGTTGTCTCTACCCTGGCAATCATCCGTTGAACGCATTGGCTGCCTTGCAAACCCAATTTTTGCTGAATTCTCTCCTTTAACTCATTGTATGTAGTGCCCCGTTTGATTTTCAACATTTTCGTTTTTCCTTCAAATTGAACACCATTGGGGCCTTCATAATGCTTTCCATCATAGTAGATCATTGTCACATACATGTTTGGACTTGTGCTCATCTTCCTCACGAAATTGGGACTTGGGTTCTGAAATTGGGGGTTTGGGTTCGGATTTTGGGGTTTGGAATTGGGCAATGACAATGATTTCACAATATTAGGTCTGTAGAGATGGTGGGATGAAATACAATCGGATTGAGAGGATTACACATGAACAAAGGGAGCTATTTAGGTTTACACAACAACAACAATCGAAATGAGACCGAAAACATGGAAAATATAGGGTTTCAGTCGACATTTAGTCGACTAAATATCGATACTTAGTCGACTAAATATCCCAAAAATGTAGTCGATTAAGATGATTTTTTAGTCGACTAAATTTGCGGAAGTCCACTTTCTGAAGTTTGACCATTTGCTCGACTAAAACAGCAAGGTAGTCGACTAAAAGGGGGCAGGTTGGTGGATAGTTCTTGATCAGGGGCAAATTGGTTATTAATTAATTAATGAGGGGCAAAAGGGTCAAAAAGCCGGGATATTTAATCGATTAAATATTTAAGTCAAATTTTTTGACCAGTTAATCGATTAAATCTTCAAGTTAATCGATTAAAAAGGGACAAATTGATAGATAGTTTTGGATAAGGGACAAAATAATTATTATTTAATTAATGAAGTGCAAAAAAGTTAAAAAGCCGAAAAAAATACAGCAAAAATATTTTTACGATTTGCATTAATTTTTTCGAGACATACAAATCATTTCTTTTTTTCCCATGCATCGCACGGATAATACACTAATATATATATATATATATATAAGAAAATAATGATATATTTTTTCTTTTAGAAATTAATCAATGACGATCCCTATTAAATTTTTCGATTTTTTCCTCTATGTATCGCACGGGTAATGGCCTGTTATAAATAAACTTGTAACCAATAAGCAAATATACAGCCGTTAGTGTTGAAAGTCAGAAGAGAGAGTGAAAGTAACCAATAAGCAGCTTACAGCAGTAGCGGTTGCAACTTTAAAAGATAGATTCACAGGCAGATGATTTCATCACTAAATACCCCACTCACTCTATAAAATGGAGTAGGGTGTGAGATTTTGAGCTTAAACCCTAGCCGCTTCACTCCTCTCTTCTATTATTTTCTCTTCTCTCCTCTTCGGTAATTCTCTTCATTTCCAGTCCCAAATGAAATTTACATATGATTTTGTTGCATTTGTCTCTGTTTTTTTGTTGTTGTTCATTTTTCGTTTTTCATTTTTCTTTCTCCTAATTTTTGTTCATTCGTTGTTCGACTGTTTATCGCTTCCTTTGCGCTTTTTAGGGTTCTATGAGTTTTCATTTCTTTTTGTTTCTCTGTTATTTTTCGGTTCTCTCTGATGTTAGAAGTGAAAATTTGCTTATTTGAACTGTTTTGAAATGTGGGTCGATGCTCGTGTAAGCTATTTGGCCTTTTTTAATCCATCTCTGTTCCTGCTCTTTTATTGTTCCATTATTTTGTGTTTTCTGACGATACCTAAAAAGAGATATGCAAAAGTTGTTTTGGTTTTTGTATCTCTTTTATAGAGAATCTGATTATCGTTTAGATTATTATTTTTTCATTCAATTCTTATAGTAAGCACGATGATGTATTTTTATTATTCTAGTGATTTACTGGTCTCGTTATTGGTTACAGGAACTTGCAAGGCCTAAGTTCAGGCAACAATCATAATGGCATTCTGTAATAAGGTTGGAAATTTCTTGAAGAACAGTGCTGCTCAGAGCAGACAAGCGCCTGTTACATCCATGCTTAATTATATCCGCTGCATGTCCTCCAGCAAGCTTTTCGTTGGAGGTATTGACTTTTGTTTGAATTATAGTTACGGATACAAACCGCATACTTAGATGTTAATTTTCTTATATTTTGTTAATTTGGGTTTTGCTATTTTAGGCCTTTCATATGGAGTTGATGACCAGTCTCTTAAGGATGCATTTGCTAGCTTTGGAGATGTGGTTGAGGGTGAGTGCAGTTTTTGAATACAAGGCAACTAGCTTTTTCCAACTCCCCTTTGGTATCATTAGAAATTGTATTTACATTTCGATGCACCATTAGATGTTTGTTGGCAGCAGGAATTTGATGCAAAAGAATGGAAGAAATTATTTTACCATTATCTGTTATTAATTGTTGGAGTAATGAGAATTTTCTTGTAGTTGGTGCATTATATAAATGAAAATTGTTTTGGCTTTTTTTTTTGTCATGCTTGCACTCAAAGGAAGACTGCTTGGTTCTATTTTGGTTTTAGCTTTCTCATACCTGTGGTTCTGTTTTCTCAGCAAGGGTTATCACTGATAGAGAAACTGGAAGGTCAAGGGGATTTGGATTTGTCAACTACTCCAGTGATGAGTCTGCAACTTCAGCACTCTCTGCGATGGATGGGCAGGTTGGAATGCTTTTCTGTTTGTATTGAACATTGTTATTATGTACTCAATTGTTAGTTGACTGACATGCTCTAGTTCCTTAGGATCTAGATGGGCGTAACATTCGGGTGACCTATGCAAATGATAGACCTTCTGGACCTCGATCTCCTGGTGGCGGTGGTTATGGTGGCGGTGGTTATGGTGGCGGTGATCGTAGGAGTGGTGGTTGGTGATCCAGTCTTAGTTCAATGTGCCTTTTGCGTATGTTAGGAGTTCTCGGGGTTATGTCTAAAACTTAAACTAATGCTGCTGTTCAAGTGGTAAATTAGTACCTAGTTGAATTTATAATTTTATTTCTTTTTCTTGGTTATTTTTTGGGTTATATTAATGGAGCATTTGTTTCGATCTATTATGGTGTCTGTGCATGTCTTAATTATATTTTGTTTTTATTTTTTGGTTGTGAGAAGTGTGTGGATTTCAAATTGTTTTTAAGCTTCAATTTTTATTTATTTTTAACTCCCTCAGTTATATGTTTATCTAAAGCTTCCATCACCAGATTTTTAATAGCTAACGGGTTACTTGTCCATTGTCCGTTTTACCCTCGATAAACATATTAGCACTTAACAATACTTAGTGGGAAAAGTAAGTTCAATGTAACTTACACCATGGATCAGCCTAGAAGATATATTACTTCCTAAAGAGAAAAAGGTTTATGACTTGTGTTTCCTGGTTAGGAGGTTTTTTTTTAAGCAAATTTTTTCGTGTCTTTTTTTTAGCTTGTTTTCTTGTTATATGTAGAAGTGATGACAAACATGTTTTTACTAAAGTTTTTATAATAAAAGAATTTTTTTCTTACAATAAAGAAAGAAGTCGAAAGTTTTTAGAAAGCGTTTTTTTTTAACTTGTATCTGTTTTTTTTTTTAAATGACTAGTTTTTTTAAAAAGAACAATTCTATTTCCAAAAAAAAAAGAAGAACAATTCTCAAACTAAATTTTTTATATAATCATTAAATAATTTTTAACTTTATTTTAGTTTTAGTTTAAAAGTAAATGTTATTTTAAAAAAAAAGGCTTCAAAGATACTTTGACTTAAGTTCAAGTAGAGCCGTTTGCCCTTACCAATCATTTACTAAGAACTTTACGAGTTTACATCTTCTCAGTTTTGGTTTCAAACACGGGCTGGGTTTACTGGCAACGAAATCATTAATCTGCTGACCCAAAAGTTGTGGGTTTGTCGTTCTGTGGATTATAGTTTTTTGGGCTTTGGGGAATCTTCAAACCAACCTAAACAGATTCTTAACCTGTCTGCTCAGTTCAATTACGTGAGCTAAAATCTTGATCTCCGCAGGCTGTTTTTTTAGAAAAATATCATTTTTTGTTCCAGACATATAATAAATACTCAGTAGGGTTAGTTGGGAAATATCTAAAATTATAATTTTTAAAAAAATTATTTTATTTTATTGAGTTCAATGTATTCAAAATTATTTAACAAATAAATATTTAGCACTTTTATAAAATGTTTTATAATTTTTTTTATAATGTATCTTATTAATTAAAGGATTTAATGTTTTTACAGTGAATGTAGATAAGTTATTTATATTTATTTCTAAAATTTTAGATATCATTTTGGGTTGTAAATTCAAAAAATGATAATGAGAAAGATTATTATAATCTTGAAATAAATTATAATTACAAAAATACATTGATTTCTGCTTCAAAACGATGTCGTTTTGAGTTCAATGTAAATAATTTATCTACTGCAAAAAAACGAACCCTTAATTAAATAGTATTTTCACACAAATGTACAGGTAAAAATGTAAGTAAAATTTTCATTATTTTTTCAATAATCCTTGAAAAGTTAGTTTTAAATTTTATTATATCTTGAAACAATGATATTGATTATTAAGTAATATATACAATGAATATTTTTACTATTTAGAAAAAATGTTAGTATAGATAAATGTTAAAGAAGTATAAAAATCATTAATGTAACATCGTTCAAAAGTTTAAGAATTCGGGTTGAATTATTGATTTTTTTGTGGTATAAGAGTCTTGATATCACGGGTTCAATACTTACCACCCCTTATTCAATTCATAATTAATTAAGTATTGTGGAGTTTGTTAACACAAGTAGATGAGTCTATACATTGTCCACATTTCAAGCTTAGTGCGCTCTCATGTGAGGAGGAGTAATAAAGAAGTATACAAATTATTAATGTAGCCTCAATAAAAAGCTTAAGCTTTTGGCTTAAATTAATTCTATACTATAAAACATTTAACGGTTTGATTTTTTTAGTAAAATTAATAATACAATATTTTGTATAGCCCAGCCCTCTCTCAACTTTTTTGTTGTAACAAATCAAATAATGTTGAGATTTTAAATAATGGGAGAGGTTATACTTACAACTTATTTTTCTTTACAACCTCTTACAACCAATATCTTAACTGTTGATTTTCGTCAATCAACAGTTAAGATTTATTGTGAATTAATAATTAATTAATAAATTATATTTACGAAAATCTTAACCGTTGATTGACGGAAATCAACGGTTAAGATATTGGTTGTAAGAGGTTGTAAAGAAAAATAGGTTGTAAGTATAACCTTTTCCTTAAATAATTTGTCTGTTACTTAATTTTTTTACTATATCTTTATTCTTTTAACATTTTTAAAAGTATGAAAATTTTTAATAACTCTAGAAGATATTATGAGTAGTTATAAATTTTAAAAATTTAGTTACAATTTTACAATTAAAAATTTAATTGAAGACTTAGTTAAATAAAAAAACATGAAATTCTTATTAATACATTTTTAAATTATACGAAACTGTTTAAAATTTAATCAAACTGTGAAGATTTACAAAGTAAATTACTTATTTATAGATCTTTCAAAATGAATATTGAGAGTTTATTATTATTACCCAAGTGTGGTGGCTCAGCTGGTAGCATGAGGACTGAGTGGTGGGAGAGGAACTCGGTTCCAATCTCACCAACACCATATGGGGAGGGGCATAAGTACCGTAATCCTTGGACTCGCACCCGAACTCTGGATTAGTCCCATAGGCGGCTCAAAGAGTCGAACCCGTGTGGATACCAGGGGGTTCTGATTCGCCTCAAAGAGGTAATTAGAATCAGTTTTCAAAAAATAAAAGAGTTTATTATTATTTATTTATTCAAAAGCAAAAGAGAAATATTTAAATGACTTAGTTCTGCGTTTAATACTAGTTATTAATTATTAGATAAATAATTTTTTTTATATAAACGGAAGGTATCCCCATTCAACCTCCTTTGGTTAACTTGTCCTCGGAGTACGGTCTCGAAAGCTACCCCTTATTGGAACAACGGGTGCATTGAGCTTCCCTACTGGAAGAAGGATGAGACTAATCTCCCATTCGAGGAGAGAGACACGTCCTCTGGCCTCCAAAGATTTTTCAAAAATTTGCTTTAGGCAAAGTTTGAATCCCTAACTCAATCAAACCATTAGAAGCTTAGGTGCCAACTGAAGTATCTTAGGGGTTAATAAATAATTTTTTTAACATGGCAGACAATTGGATTAAAATTTAGATAATGTAGACAATATAAATGCATATCTTAGTAAGTTTATTTCTTTTATGTTATTTATAGTTTGATAGAAGCGTATTTCTAAATATTGAATTTATATATATTTTGACTTGATAGTTAATTTTGTTGCAAATATCATATAAAAAAAATATGATTATAAATAAAGAAGGAAATTTCTTTCATTTAAAATTGTTCAAAACAAAATAAAATAAAAAATTATCACTGATTTGTTAAATGTATATTCAATAAAATTATATATGTAAATTATATTTTTTTATTATATTATATTTATAATTTATTTTATATTTATAAATATTTAATTTTATATATTTTTGTATATATATTTTTTCATTGAATAATAAATTTTTTGTATCTTCATCTAATGTCATTATCAAGTGTTTTTTAACTATATTTACAATCCAACTTTGACATTATATTTTGGATGAAGAAATTAACGGAGAATCGAAAATATAATAGTAGAAAAAACTAAATGTTAATGACAAGTAATATCAATATTTAAAATTAATTATTTTATTATAGAGAAAAGTTCACCGATGCCCATGTGATTTACTTCAGAATTACTTATGCCCCTGTGATTTTTTTCTTATCACATATGCCCTTGTGCTTTGTAAAAAATAAGAAACCACAGGGGTATATGTGATAAAAAAACATACCCTTTATTATAAAATCTGTGATAGAAAAAAAACCACAGGAACATAAATGATTCTGAAATAAACCAGTGGCATTGGTTAACTTTTCCCTTTATTATATTGGATCATGATAGATCAAACAGATTTTATAAGTCTTATCAAGCATATTTTTTTTTTTTTTTAGTTTTAAAAATCAAAAAATTATTTTCAAAAAAACAGAATTCAATCATGCCTGTGTTCTTTTTCAGCATTTTCTAATCCCCTTTCCCAGCAGCACTTTTCTTCCACTCAACCTTCCTTCTGTTTTTGAGGTTAATATTTTTGAGTGATTTTCATGAGATGGAAGGGCCTCCTCAAGTGTCGGTGAGCGGTCATAAATTTCTAAAACAGGTCAAACAGTATGGCATATCTGTCTTAATTTTTTTTAGTGTTATGTCACCGTAATGTGGGGGCACGTGCTTATGTACCCAAGTGAGAACAAATGCTACAGTTGCATCAACTTTGTTTCATTGAGATTGCACTTGCACAACATGGTTGGTTGTTGACGCGTCTTTGTCCCTCCCTATTCCCGAATTTGTTCGCTTGCATCAACATCACAACCATACAAAGCTAACACTTTATTTATTACGGATCGGACTTTTGGGAAAGGTTATCTAATATTCATTTATTCGTTGTTATCTGTTCAATTCAATGATCTCATCATATGGCACTTTTTTTTTTTATCCTGAAATCCATATTCTATCACAATTGAGAGCTCATTTTTCATACAGCAGCAGGAGTATCAGTATGTACTTCCTACCTAGTTAAAATAAAAATAAAAATATGAGATACATATAGATGAAAATAAGCTATTATTTTCTTAAACTTAAAAATTATTAATGTGAGCTTAAATTTTTGAATTAAATTAATTCTTTACAAACTTATCAGGAAGATTTTTAAAAATAAGCTATTATTTTCTTAAACTTAATCAAAGCCAAATATGCCTACACTATCATTTTTATTTACTGATCATGGAGCTCAGTAAAAAGAGAGGCATTTTCATTGTGTTTTATCTGTACAAAATTTACTAACTATATTGATATATGGATTTAGAACCATAATAGTTTGGTATGATCATTGCAACTAATTTCAAAGCTCCATACTCTATATTATATATATTTTTATTAAGGTAAACTGTTTTGTGACCCCTTTGCTAAGTGGTTCCCTACGCACATTAAAAAAGAAAAAAAAGAAAAAGAACCAAGCATATTAAATAAAAACAAAAGAAAACATTCGCGTTGA